AATTGCCCAGGACTCCACGGCTCAGCTTGTTTGGTGCTCTTTAATAGCGGATCCATGTGTTCCTGTTGGCTTTCTTCCACCACTCCAATGGGTCACCTAGGCTGGTGTACAGGCCAGCCCTGAGTGGTTGACGTTTCAGAACCCCAACAATTTTGTAGCAGTTGAACTCCACCAACACATCCAGACTTGGCAGAACATCCTCGAAGGGCATCCGAAATGCGCTAAACTATTATGTTATATTGAGAATGGAGTTGATATGTCCTCCTTTTTCTACACTTTTAAAGGCACCTTTGCACATGCTTGTTATGACAATCCATCCCTACCAACGGCAGTGTTTCCCAATAATAGCTCCTGTCAGGGATTTGATTATTTTATTACTCAGACCATCCTTGAGCGCATTCAAAACGATTCTTTGTTGGTTGTTGGGAAGTTGGCAAAGTCTCTCCCCCATATGCTTACATCTATCACACAGTTGGCCTAGCCACAACCAGCTGCATCCGCTCTTTACACATTCTCTTTACACGCTTTACATGTTCTCAATACATCAATGATCGGCATGTTGGACAACTGCGCCTTGCGAAGACTATACTTTTAAACCATCCAATCTAGCTCTTGTTCAAGCTGCTGTCTTATATAGCCTGTTATATTCTCATCGAACTTGGCTATTTCATCGGGTTAAAGAATTTCTTGGGTTCCTCTCCGACTCCGTTCAACAAGCCTTTGTATTGCCACAAGAGAAAATACAGAAGTTTATCATTTTACATGAATCTATCCTAATCTATTGTGTTGTGGAGATTTCGGTGAAAATATATTACTATTTTTACCAATATCTCTGTTTAATACATGGCCATTGAAAAGGGAATTAATGTGTTTAAAATTAGCATAAGATTATTTATTATTACACTAGGGACCAACAAAAACGCATAAAAACTTGAGAATAATCTAGTTTTTTACACATGCAGTGTTTGCTCATCAACACGGAGGTTATGAACATCAGATTTTTTGGGGGCCCAGCCACCTCCCCTCATTTGTGACACTCACATCCTCACTCACTATGGTCAAGCTAAATAAAATTCTATCCACAATCTTAATTCCTTTTTAGCTTGGCCATTGAGTTGCAGAGATTTCAGTGAAAATATATTACTATCATATATCATAATGTATATAATATGGTATCATACTATGTAATACTGTATCATTGCTGCCGAAGGCACCATGCTATTTTTCACGGTGTTTTCAGTGCCCAGTTTCTTTGACTGGGCTATTAGTTGTGATTGGATTGAATTTCGATTTTTTGAATTTTAGATCCAGGGAAGGCCAGGCAGGTTGATCATATTAAAAATATTTATTGAACACAAGGGTTACTCAGGCCATAGTATCAACCTGCCACAAAATGTAAAAGAACTTGCCAAATCCTTGCCCAGGTATCCAAAAGAATTGCCTTTAATCATTGTTAAGGTCAAAGGAAGAGATAATACATTTGAAGATGTGAATGTTCATAGAAAAAAAGTACACAATGCATTATTGTGGCTTTTGCGAAATAATCCTCATTATTCTGATTTGCAAATTGATGTAAATGCATTAAATTTGTTGTCTGAAAATGGTGTTCCACCAGATCTTGTGGCTGTTGAGACAAATGATGATATTGTCTCAGAGAATAATAATATGGCTGATTACAGCCGACCGTCTGATGATTCTTCTGAAGATATTGTTTACAACAACTTAACTGAAATGAGCAGTTTTTTACCTGGTAGGGAACAGCAAGAAAAATAATTAGAAGCAGTTAAAAATCAGCTTTCTCCAAATGATCCAATGCCTTGGCCTACTGTTGAAAATCAGCCATTAACACCTAGCCTTTATGGCATTTCCAACATTATTTCCTGATGGGTAAGGCGACCCCACTAATCAAGCTCTTTTGAGAGATGTTCCTGTTAAGGAAAGAGTAAAGCATCTTCTGAAATTTGCAGAAAATATAAATGGTAAATGGGTGTGTTGTTTTGCACAGCATCCCAGATTTTCATGTTGGGCTTTCAATATGATTGAAAGAAAGCGCATTTTACAGCAAACTGGGATAAAGCAAGGGAGGAACTTAAAGCTATCATAATGAATGTTGGTGCCCCAACTATGTCGTTTACTTTTTCATCAGCAGATATGCATTGGCCTGAATTGCATTCCTCCATTGATGTTCACAATTTGTTTTTAACAAATTTCAACTTACTAAATGAGCGTTCATTTGAGGCTACAGTCACAGGAGCTGTAAGAATCAATTTGACCATGGAATTTGCCAATGGAAGTGACAATTTGTTGGATTTGCTGACTTCAACTACTTTGGTACATTCGGTTCCCACAGCAGAAGGTAATAGCTCAAACAATTCCTGCAATTCGGCTTGTAAAGCTAATGCATGACTGAACATGTGATGCATCAATTGGTGGCTTTAGACACTCCAGCAAAGGTAAAATGTGCATCTTGCACTGTAGCAAGTGTCCTTTCATTCGAGTTGTGAGAACGTCAAGGGCTTTACGAAACTGTTTTCTATAAAAAGCCGATAAGGAAAGTACTGGTCGTTTAGGCGTCTAGGCACTCCCCTTGGGCAATGGTGATGGTGGAAATCGGATTCAGGGTCAATTCCAATGATCCTGACAAAGGTTGTGAATGCCTCAATTTGATTGTCCCTCGCTTTGTCATCATCCCGCAACTTCTGCATGATGCTCAACATGCCCTAAGCAAGATCAGTGACATCTAAGATGTTGAGTTCAGTTGATTGTAACTGCACCACCAGACTCTTTATCTTGTATGCAACATTTTTCACGAACATCAGCGCAATGACAAAGTCAAGTGAGAGCATTTTTTTAAAATGTTTCACTCCTAATTTTAGGTTCTAAAATTGAACATATTAAAAATTTGAAACATATACATTTTTTATCCAATTTTCATTATTCTACTACCAGCGATAAGTGATGTGATTAAAATACCTTAAGTGGATGTTTTAGCTTTCCTTTACGTTTTGGTAAACTGCCTTTCTTCCGGAAACAGTACCTGGTATACTGTTGTATTTCTACGCTGGTTTCGTCTGTAAAGATAACATTCTCGAAGCTATCTTTCTCTTTCAAAATACATTTTGTTTTATTTCTGTCACGAATTAGCTGGCAGTAGCGAGTTCTTTCATGTTTCCAATTGTGCTTTTTTCTTCTTACACTTCGTATTGTTGAAGTCGAAGCAATCACATTTTGTTCTTCACCCAAAAGTTTTTGAATTTCCCTCGAGGTCAGTTCGTTGTTCTCTTTCATTCTTTCATCAATGAAATTCAAATATTCCTCAGAAAGAATGGACTTTCGTCCACTCCGTTGGGCATCATCAATGCTTCCCGTTCGTTGATAACAAGCAATAAACGAAAAAACGCTTGTCCAGGATGTTTTAATTCTGTCCTCTTCTTACAGGATGTTTACAATATCCACTATTGAATTATTAGCCTTACTTAATGTAACCACTTGATTCCTTGCATATTGGGAAAGCTTTACCATCACTATTCTTATAGAAATAATGCTAAAGGACTGCCGAAAGTTGGAGATGATGAAGTCACATGTGCAATGAAATGTCAAATGTTATTTTCGAACTTTTTTGCAAAATTTCTGACGATTTCAGAAAATAAATTATTCTCGCTGCCTCAAAGCGCTCGCAGACGCGCGGTGCACGCAAAATGCCCGCGGGCCGAACACACACAGTAAGTGCCCGCAGAAGCAAAGTGGAAGCAAAATGCCTGCGGGCTGGACGCACCCGCGGGCATTTGTAGACGCAGAGCAGACGCGAATTACCCGCGTCTTGGATGCAGATTTTGATAAGTTATTTCTTAAGAGTACTGAATACATTTTTCACCTAACTCACAGATTACAATGATATTTACTTTATTTCACCTTAAATCTTCGATTCTCAGATGGTGAGTATGTTATCATTGTTCCCCTGAAATAGACTAAATCAAACTGAATGTTTTAAAAAAAAGGCTGTTTCGGCAAAATGAATGCCAAATTCGTCAACTCGATCTCCGATCTTGTTGCAAAATTCCACAAGGCTGTATCGAAGGGACGTTTGTAGTTGTTGCCATCAATTATGGTATAAGCATAGTGTTTGTCCAGCAGATAGAGTTCGATTAAGTAATCCAAACATGGTTAAGCACTTGCAAAATACAACCAGTGTTGACAATAAAGGGTGCCTCCTTGGGCAGTAACAAATGGAATGCAATTTCTAGAGAAGCCCAATTTTTTTTATCTTAATGAACTAGAATGCAGGCTATTTGCTCCCAGATTAGCCTTCAGAAGATAATGCAGAGGAAATCAATTAAAAATAAATGGTAATGTTGCTAATGTACCTGCAGATCTTAAGAGCACTGTTAGTATGTTACCAAGATTACCCCATGAAACTGGTACAATTAAGGTTCAGCTGAAAACCAAACTACAATACAAGAGTGCAGCGTTGTCGCTTAATGTTCGACCACATAAGGTTTTTCAAGCAGCAGCTTGGTTAGCAAGTAATAGTGCCCTTTATCAAGAAGAGGGAATTTTACTTAAGCTTGGCATGAAAATTTAATTCAGCAAGGTACTGAAGAAACATCTGATGATTATAATGTAGAGTTTCCCTGCGCGACTGAGAATATAGATAACTCAAATAGTGATGATTTTAGTGAAGGCGAAGCAGAAATACCAGCTGGTGTAACCGACACAATGTTAACAGCAACATATTTTTTCAATGACAGTGAAAGACAGAAATTTATAATTTTGTTCCTGGAGAAGGTAGCAGACCACTTAGCCTATTTCGTGATCAATATTGGGAAGAGTTAGCTTATCCTGGCATATTTTTGGGCCAAAAAAGACCAGAAGACAAACAACGATTAACAAGTGTTTACTACAAGTGACATTTGCAAATCAGAGTAAAGACGGTCTGACCGAAGAGCAGCAATGTGTGTTGAAAACATTTTTTTAAAGCAAAAAAAGCTTCAAATGAAAATTCAGTTAGGAAAGTCACAAATTACAAGAACCAGACATTCTTTAAACTGCTTGCATCTGTTGTTTTGGAACCACCGGTAAAACCCAGGCACAATACGTTCCCATTCAGACTCAAGGCTTTCAAGTTTGGCATCCAGGTCGCACTCATCTTCAGCGTCCGCCAAACCATTCTGGATAAGAATAGAATCCTGTGTACCATATATATCTGCCATCACTTTCGACTGTGATCGCTGATTGCAGCAAAGGGTCTTGAGCTTTCGAATGTCCCGGTCCTGCATATGCTGTGTGCACCAAAGTTTTTTAGCGTTTTGAAAAACATCACACAGGCCTTGGGAGAGAGCTTTATCCATATCGTGACCAATCTTCTTGATGCCAAGTAGCTCTGGCTTTTGAGCAACCATCTCGACCGCGAATCTGCGATAGCATTCTCTTGTTTTTCGGAAATGCCAAAAACTTGGCCCAGGAAACTCAGGATTTTTGCCGTTAGAATCTAGCAGGGCTTCATTTGTATACGTAGTATCTGTGAGCCAAAGACCCTCAACAAGTTCGAAAGTGGTATCAACTCGCAAGATCGACTCTCCATTGACACAAAATCGGTGCAAATCATTGAGCATGTTTGGAAGGCAGTTAAATGTTACGTACTCTCCCTTGGTGAACATTACGCTTTGCAGTAGATCATTGGACCGAAGGCATGATATTATCTCTTCTGCTTCGCTCATACTTTCGCTGTTACCACCAGAAGTGGATTCTGCATTCTTCATCAAAAGCTTTCGATTGTCGATCAGTTTTGGACTTGATACTGTCTCACTTACAGTGTCGGCTTTCTTCCTGGCGATTGCACTATAAACCTGGGCAGTTGACAAACCTTGCTTCAGCATACCGTCCACCTCTCTAAAAAGTTTTGGATCCTTTCTGAAGTACTGACTACTTGTTGGTTTACCGGCGTTTCCATGTCGAGGAAGAATGAATTCACGAGCAACTCCATCACACCACTTATACATAACAAAATAGAATGGTTTGGGCTCTTTCTCAGTCACGTCTCTAACAGTAACAATTGTTTGGGAAAAATCAGGATTATTTTTACTGGTGTGATATTCACGCTTCAGTTGAAATACCTCTTTCTCGGGTACTGTTTCTTTGATATAACCTTTTGAGTTTCTAACGTTTATATACCAAACACCATTCTCATTCTTGTGGGCAGTCTGAGAACCTTGTTTGTTATATGTATAGAATTTCGTGACAGAACCTTTCGAGTTGTAAGCGCCATTATCGTCCGCCTTTGCAGATGTTATTGGTATATCTTGGGCATTTAAAGTAAACGTTTTGTTTACCCGTATGCCCGACGGTTTCTCTTTAAGTTCGTAGTCTTCTGGATTTTCTAGCAGGATATTTAATATGGTGGCATGATCGCCATCTTCAACATTCTCGATGTTTTTATCCTTTTTAATATTGATGTTGGATTTACTAAACAATATGAAACAAACTGTTTATATGACCTGCGTTGTCTTTCCCAATCGTCGTTTTCAAATTTTACTTATTACACATTTATTACACATTAAGTTTTAATATATCGCTGTAATTTCAGGATTGGTGATAACATAAATACTCAGCCTCACAAACAGGCCCGCCAAGAGGGGAGACAGGGCCCCCAGCTAAAAGGGGCCCCAACACGGTCCGAAAATCTACCGGGTGTACTTAAAAAAGTACTCCGGTTTGATTCATAATATCAAATCAGTTTAATAGATTCACTTGTTTAGAAGTTATTGGGAATCAGATCAGAGCACCTATCTCGCTACATAGTTCTGTTTTCTTAATCATGGTTTAGTTTAGATTGTACATAGTCATATTGCTTTTAATTAGTAATAATAGTATGCATGGTGGATATCCTTTTATTTTAACATAAGCGTATACGGGACCTTTTTTTTGGGGGGGGGAGTGAACATTTTGCTCAAGGCAAATGCCGTAGAAGCGGTAAGGCAGTCTATTTCTTTAAAGAATCATGGAAACTCCAATTTAACCATTTTACCATTTTACAACTCAGACGATTGCCCTTATGCATATTCTACAGACTTACCAGGATGAAGGTTCTTTTCTGCATGACTTCTGTAAAATACATGACAATTTGTCAAATTATGCTACGTAAAATCATACATTTAACCAAGTATCAGTTTACAAGATTCTCTACTTGATGAGTACAAAATCAAGATGCATTAGATATAGTAAATTTAAAAATTGTATATCAATGTACATGATCTAATGTTGTTTAAAAGTCTGTCATTGAGTAAGTTATTAATTTAAAATTTAGTAGCAGCAAAATATAAACTTCCCACAATTTGGTCATGCTATACAAATTATTAATCATTATCATTATTCACTTCTTTAGAAATTGATTTTTTTCACAGTCTATGAAATATTTGCATAGCATGACTAAATTGCTGGGCTGGCTTCCTTACTGCTTCCCATTAAACTAACCTTTTTTGCGTCAAGTGGTTGTATAATCAATGTACCTGGAAGATCAACAAAATATATTTCACTTAATATATTAGTTAAAGAAATATGTGTTTGGAAACTCCACCGTACAGTAATGTACGGTAATTGTCAGTAAAAATAATAGTGAGCATAGGCAAGTGACGTTTTTGACAACATGGACGTCAACCGGAAGTAAAGTTTACGTTTTTCAACAACAATCCTTGACCCAGTCTCCTAACTTTATTCATGCCGTTCGTGTTGTCAAAAACATCACTTGCTTAAGCTCACTAATAATGAATCCGTAGCCAATGTTCTGAGTGTAAGCCAGGGGCAATGGTTGCTAATTCCACACAGCTATTTACACCTGGGGGGAGGTTAGCAAAAACGAGTTAAAAGTCCATATGCATGTGTAGTCATGAAGCTCCACATGAGAAACAATGAAAACCATTTCATAGAATGAGTAGCCGAACAGCTTTTACTTTGTAAATGGGAACCAAGATATAGTAGGAAAGTGTAAAATACAAGGCACTATTGTTTTAAATTATGTTACGGAAAAAAGCTTTTAAAAACTATTTCAACCATTTCAGTCATTTTAGCTAAGTACTACTGTTTCTTTTTCCAATCAGCATTTGGAAAAAGTAAGAAAACCTTATGTGCAATAGCACTAATGTGGGTTTTCCCTTATTCTACTTTCTTTACCACCAAGCCTCACTTTGGTGTAAAAGAAAGGATTCGCAGTAATGAATAGCATCTGGATACACAAGCATACAGAAAAACCTGCATAAGTGCTATTCCTATATTTTAATGACTAAATAAAAGAGTGGAACTCAGCTTAGACCTTTGCCTTAATTCAACCTTTTACTTGGTTGGCTTTGGCACTTTTGGCTGTTTTTTTTTATACTATGTTAAATCATTTTGTTTTCTCCTGTTAATAATAGTATGTTTCAGAATACAACTTTTTTGGGTGAGGGGAATGAGGTTTCAAATCCTCCTGCCCTGTATTCCCCCACAGGGTTTACATTCACATGTACACTAGAAACCGGCCATGTCTTGATAATGTTACGTAATCAATATGCAACGGCAGACACAAATCTCATTTAGCCCAATATAACGTTTGAACTAGGGAAAGTACAGCTCTTAAGTACTCACCGACAGTCACACCACCATCATCTGAACTCTCAGACGTGTCATCCGACAAGACAATACAATTTTCTGTATAAAGGTAAAAATAAACATGTCATTTACATTGTCAAATTAGCTCAAAACAATAGGTTATTAAACATGATAATATGATACCTTCACATATTGAAAATCCTAAATAATTATGCAAATTTTTGTAAAAAAAATATTGTACATACCTTCGCTCGACATGTTTATCGCTTTTATCACACACATGATCAAAATTAGCGGGAAAATGTAGGACTTCCACTTGGGCATACTATCCCATATTTTCAATCGAAAAAAACAAATAGGAAGCACCACTGTGGAAGCACCAGTGGTTATTGTGGCTCGTTGTGAATTGTTGTGGATCGTTGTGTGTCGTTGTGGATCATTGTGGGTCGTTGTGGATCGTTGTGGGTCGTTCCAAGTTTTAGTAATTACGTAAAAATTAACCGGAATTAACGGATTTAAAGGTAATATCACTGTATAGGATTGTTGAAACGTACTTAAAAGTTTTCTACAAGCAACCCCTGTTAAGAAATAATAAAACTTATACATAGCCCATGATATTAAAACGTATAGTGAATTAACTAAATCAGTATGATTAGTGCAAAATTAACGAATCTCTCCTAGGAATGTTAGAGGTAATATTACCGTATATGATAGTTCCAAGAGTTTTACACAATAAACCCCTGTATACAAGCGAAAAATTAACCGGGATTAACGGATTTTAAAGGTAATATCACTGTATAGGATTGTTGAAATGTACTTAAAAGTTTTCTACAAGCAACCCCTGTTAAGAAATAATAAAACTTATACATAGCCCATGATATATTAAAACGTAGTGAATTAACTAAATCAGTATGATTAGTGCAAAATTAATTAAGGGTAAAATAGGAATTCAAATAACAATACGAAATTATTCGTATTGTTGATGATAATCGGGGTTCTGATTGGAATCTTACGTTCCAATCTCGTAGTAATTATACTAGTATAGGTTGGAATCTATGCCAAATTCTATTCTTTAGTTAAACGTGATCCAATAGTTGGAATTCTAGTTTATCTTCATTAATTTCCAGTTACACTCGTATTGTTGATGATAATCGGGGTTCTGATTGGAATCTTACGTTCCAATCTCGTAGTAATTATACTAGTATAGGTTGGAATCTATGCCAAATTCTATTCTTTAGTTAAACGTGATCCAATAGTTGGAATTCTAGTTTATCTTCATTCATTTCCAGTTACACTCGTATTGTTAATGATAATCGGGGTTCTAATTGAAATCTTACGTTCCAATATCATAGTAATTATACTAGTATAGGTTGGAATCTATGCCAAATTCTATGCTTTAGTTAAACGTGATCCAATAGTTGGAATTCTAGTTTATCTTCATTCATTTCCAGTTACACTCGTATTGTTAATGATAATCCGGGATCGCATTGGAATCTTACGTTACAATCTCATAGTAATTATACTAGTACATAGATTGGAATCTTATTATACATAGCCCAACATATATTAAAACGTAGTGAATTAACTAAATCAGTATGATTATAGTGCAAAATTAACCAATATCATCGTAATATCACCGTATATGATAGTTCCAAGAGTTTTACACAACAAACCCCTGTATACAAGCTAAAAATTAACCGGAATTAACGGATTTAAAGGTAATATCATTGTATAGGATTGTTGAAACGTACTTAAAAGTTTTCTACAAGCAACCCCTGTTAAGAAATAATAAAACTTATACATAGCCCATGATATATTAAAACGTAGTGAATTAACTAAATCAGTATGATTAGTGCAAAATTAACCAATCTCCCCTAGGAATGTTAGAGGTAATATCACCGTATATGATAGTTCCAAGAGTTTTACACAACAAACCCCTGTATACAAGCTAAAAATTAACCGGGATTAACGGATTTTAAAGGTAATATCACTGTATAGGATTGTTGAAACGTACTTAAAAGTTTTCTACAAGCAACCCCTGTTAAGAAATAATAAAACTTATACATAGCCCATGATATTAAAACGTATAGTGAATTAACTAAATCAGTATGATTAGTGCAAAATTAACCAATCTCCCCTAGGAATGTTAGAGGTAATATTACCGTATATGATAGTTCCAAGAGTTTTACACAATAAACCCCTGTATGCAAGCGAAAAATTAACCAGGATTAACGGATTTTAAAGGTAATATCACTGTATAGGATTGTTGAAACGTACTTAAAAGTTTTCTACAAGCAACCCCTGTTAAGAAAATAAACTTATACATAGCCCATGATATATTAAAACGTAGTGAATTAACTAAATCAGTATGATTAGTGCAAAATTAATTAAGGGTAAAATACGAATTCAAATAACAATACAAAATTATTCGTATTGTTAATGATAATCGGGGTTCTGATTGGAATCTTACGTTCCAATCTCGTAGTAATTATACTAGTATATGTTGGAATCTATGCCAAATTCTATTATTTAGTTAAACGTGATCCAATAGTTGGAATTCTAGTTTATCTTCATTCATTTCCAGTTACACTCGTATTGTTAATGATAATCGGGGTTCTAATTGAAATCTTACGTTCCAATATCATAGTAATTATACTAGTATAGATTGGAATCTATGTCAAATTCTATTCTTTAGTTAAAGGTGATCAAATAGTTGGAATTCTAGTTTATCTTCATTCATTTCCAGTTACACTCGTATTGTTGATGATAATCGGGGTTCTGATTGGAATCTTACGTTCCAATCTCGTAGTAATTATACTAGTATAGGTTGGAATCTATGCCAAATTCTATTATTTAGTTAAACGTGATCCAATAGTTGGAATTCTAGTTTATCTTCATTCATTTCCAGTTACACTCGTATTGTTAATGATAATCCGGGATCGCATTGGAATCTTAGGTTACAATCTCATAGTAATTATACTAGTACATAGATTGGAATCTTATTATACATAGCCCAACATATATTAAAACGTAGTGAATTAACTAAATCAGTATGATTATAGTGCAAAATTAACCAATATCACCGTAATATCACCGTATATGATAGTTCCAAGAGTTTTACACAACAAACCCCTGTATACAAGCTAAAAATTAACTGGAATTAACGGATTTAAAGGTAATATCATTGTATAGGATTGTTGAAACGTACTTAAAAGTTTTCTACAAGCAACCCCTGTTAAGAAATAATAAAACTTATACATAGCCCATGATATATTAAAACGTAGTGAATTAACTAAATCAGTATGATTAGTGCAAAATTAACCTATCTCCCGATAATGTTAGAGTTAGTATCACCGTATACTATAGTTCAAAGAGTTTTACACAACCAACAAATGTATACAAACAAAAAATTAAACTTATACACAGCCCATCATAGAAAAACACGGTGAATTAACCAAATCAGTATAGTTCCTGCAAAATTAACCTATCTCCCGATAATGTTAGAGTTAGTATCACCGTATAATATAGACACAACCAACAAATGTAAACGAGCAAAAATTTAAACTTATACATAGCCCATCATAGAAAAATGCGGTGAATTAACCAAATCAGTATAGTTCCTGCAAAATTAACCTATCTCCCGATAATGTTAGAGTTAGTATCACCATATAATATAGTTCAAAGAGTTTTACACAACCAACAAATGTATACAAGCAAAAATTAAACTTATACAAAGCCCATCATAGAAAAACACAGTGAATTACCAAATCAGTATAGTTCCTGCAATATTAACCTATCTCCCGATAATGTTAGAGTTAGTATCATCGTATAATATAGTTCAAAGAGTTTTACACAACCAACAAATGTATACAAACAAAAAATTAAACTCGGTGAATTAACCAAATCAGTATAGACTATAGTTTCTTCTAAAGTTATACAAAGCACATCATATAAAAACACGGTGAATTAACCAAATCAGTATAGTTCTTGCAAAATTAACCTATCTCCCGATAATGTTAGAGTTAGTATCACCGTATAATATAGTTCAAAGAGTTTTACACAACCAACAAATGAATACAAAAGTCAAGCAAAAAATTAAACTTCTTCATAGCCGATCATATTAAAATTAACGTAGTGAATTAACTAAATTGCTATGATTAGTGGTAAATTAACCAATCTCTCCCGGAATGTTAGAGTTAATATATATTGTATTAATACATTATGTCATTATATTATGCTATCACACGCTGCATTATTTTATACCAATTCATTATACTATGGTATCAAACATTGCATTGCATTACCAGTACATTATACTATGGTATCAAACATTGGATTGTATTATACCAGTACATTATAATATGGTATCAAACATTGCATTGCATTTACAGTACATTATACTATGGTATCAAACATTGCATTGTATTACCAGTACATTATACATGGTATCAAACACTGCATTATTTTATATCAACGCATATTATGCCATCATATTAAAACGTAGTGAATTAACTAAATCAGTATGACTAGAGCAAAATTAACCAATCTCCTGATATATTATAGTTGAAACGGATTTAAGAGTTTTATACAACAAACACCTGTATACATGTATGAATGTAGAAACACCTGTATAAATAAGTACTTTTGTGGGTAAACTACTGATCAATATACCTTGAGTGAAACAAATGTTACATTCTGATGAAATGTTATTTAAATTAGTGATTTTGCCTAAATCAGAATTAAGGTACAACTACGACCAATAACCTGATGCTAGCCACACTCTCCAAACCTGTCCAAAACACCTACACAAAAGACGTCTCTACCACCATTCTTGACACTGCCAGCACCTCTAATCAAAAACATGAACAAAAACATGAAAAAAAAAGCCGCCACAGCAGTACCCTTCAACCCCATACAAACGCACCATCCACACCACCCATCCACTAAACAACACCACACGCCCACGAAACAACACCACACACCCAACAAACAACACCACCAGCCCCCTCAGGTTTTCGGAAACAGCCACATCCCCACCCCAAACGAACCTCCACCCATCAAACCAACACAAACACCATACCAATGTCCAACGAGACATTACAGCAACCCATCCGCAAACGCCTGGTGGGGACAGACACAGTTCCTCACATACAACATGTTCATGAAAGAAAGCAATAAAACATTTTTCATGACCACTCAACGGAAAGCCACCCACAAAAACCACGATAAACTCTTGACCAAATCACACAACAACAATC